AGGTCTGAGGGTGCGGCAGGGTTTGTTTTCCACTCTTGTGAAGCAGTCGCTTCGCCACGGCTCGCGCCAGGTTCACTCTCAAGCAGATGTTTTTGTATGACCTCGTCAAGTGAAAATCAACGAGAGAGAGAGAGAGAGAGAGAGAGAGAGAGAGAGAGAGAGAGAGAGAGAGAGAGAGAGAGAGAGAGAGAGTCGGCGGAAAGTTATTAGGAAGTTTCCGAGAATAGGACATTCCCATCGGAAGTGGGTGGGCTGTGTTGGTGGTATGAACACCAGCCCTGAGGAAGACCACGACAGGATGGTCGAAACGTCGGCAACACAGCCTTCGACGTGGCGTCACCCGCACAGTCCAGATCACCCACATAACTCTGGCCACGGAAGCCTACGACTTCATTCCCATCGGAATACAAAGAGCTGGTGAAAAAAGCTAATGGGAGGTCTATTGTATAGGTGCATCATATCGTAGACTCTTTGCAAATGTTGGCAAAAAAGATCGTACAATTACGGTCGTTTTCAGAAGATCTCCGGCACTGGAGGCATCGACATGCGTAGCGGGTCTCGGGGCAGGGAGGCCATGTCCCCCGCGAATATTTTAAAAGTAATTCAATAGCCTTTATTATAGTTATTATCAATAGTTATTATTATATTAAGTTCTTTGTTTGCACGGTCCAGATTGAGGGTATTTTACCAAGATTGATAGGTCGGGGCAAAAAAACCTCAATGGAGACAGAGGAAGTAGGAGAAGCGGTTTCTTCAGTATATGCCTAGCATGCTGATAGTTCTAGTTTTAGCAAATTATTAAAATTTAGACGCTGGTAAATAGTTGTGATAAATCTGTGATTGCAACAAAGAAGACAAAATACTTTCGCGTGACTGCAACTGCTTCCACTGACCTTAATGTAAGTGATTTGTACACTTCAATTAAAACAAAATGAAAGTCACTATAGCTATCGAAAAATAGTGTATGACACACGTGCTAAAATTGATTTTATCTTCCTGCTAGGGGTGCACCACTCGGCCTCATCACCTCGTGACGCAGCCAATCCTACTCGCAAAATAAAATGTTTTTATCATTCGTAAAAGAAATAACTATTATTTCTTTCACTGATTTTTTTCCTTTACACTTGAGTAGTACAACTTAGAAATTATACTACTAATTTAGAGAACAGGTTTATCAAGCCATATGGCAAACGCGTAAATGTTATGTTTGAACATACAAAATTAATTTATGAAATGTATCATTCAAGTTACAATCTCTTTATCCCTGTAGATTTTTTTTAAAAAAATGCTGTACTGTTACGGGATTTAGTTGGGTTGCTTTAAGTTTCCATGTTCTCCGGATCTGAACCCGTGCAACTTCTTACAGTGAGAATTTCTGAAAGTATCATGTATGCGACAAATTCCCACGCGAAAGAATTAGGCTCAAATTGTCACCACTTTCAATATACATTTATAGATGTAGAGATATCAACATTTTTAATACAATTATTGTTTAGAAAGGACAAGAGTTGCTATTCTCAACTTTATAAGAGTGCCAACGGAAAACACATAATTGACAGAGGACTGGAATTATTTCTCGAGTATTCAAAACTCGTCATAAGAATTATCCTGAAACACAGTTGTTTGAATTCTCTTTTCTCACACAAATACTCAAAACAATAAACAAAGAAACCCTTCGAAAAAAATATAACATAACTTGCATACACCTTAGTTTTTTGTAATTAAATTGAGATATTGTTTTTTAACACCCAATACACTTTTTCTCTCCATTGATTTTCAAATAGTCTGAATGATATAGTTTTTTAAATTGCTACAGTCCCTCGCTGTATTCTAATAAACACCAAGGACACATACTATTACAATGAAAGTTATTCCACAGGTTAGGACTATCACATTATACAAATGATTATAATCACAAAATTGTATCTGCATTTTGACCTTGAGTATTTAGAAACCGTCATACTCTCTCATCAGAGCCTCTAGATGTCGTCGTATGGATTTAAAGAGAGCCTGCTCAAAGAGATATGCTTTTGAGAAACGTACTGCCACGCTGTTTCTACGAACAACGATCAAGACCGACCGATCATATCCCAGACATGTTAGATTGGCGGCATGACAGGTGATCGGGCAGGCCTGGAAGCGGTGGTACCCGTTGTTATTCGCAAAATGCTTGCACATTCCTCGCTACATGCGGTTGGACATTGTCCTGCTGAAATATGGTACGTGAAGTTTCTTGCAGCGGAGGCAGTACATCGGGCTCTGAAACCTCCCTGATGTAGCGGTTGCTGTTCAGATTGTCCTAAAAATGTATGAGGCGAGATCGCAAATTGCAGCCAATGGTGCCCCAAATCATAGCACTTGGCGATTGTAGGCTATGGCGCGGAAGTGCAGGCTGGCAGATTGTTATCAACACGGTAGCGTCGAACATTTAAGCGGTCATCGCTTCAGCACAAATTGAAGAGGGACTGGTCCGAAAACAGTACAGTTTGCCACGGAGCGCACCAGTGAACACGTTCCTGAGCTCATTGCTGTCTGGGGCGATGGTGGTTTCTTGACAAAGGAATCCGACGCAGTGGTATGCGCGCCACCAGTCCAGCCCTCAGCAGACGACATCGAACTGTCGACGAAGACGTTACTACAACCGTTGCAGTGCTCCAAAGTCGAATCAACACTGGGGATGACGCCGTTCTGTCGGTTACGGCCGTGCGGACAAGATGGCTGCCACCTCGCGCTGTGATCACATTGTGAGATCCAGTACCCGGTCGTTGATGTGTTTGACCCTCCTCTATCCACAGGGTCCACACGTACATCAAAGTCGATGGAGCGCTCCCCGTTCGAGCCCCACTGCCCGGATACCGATCATTCTGCATTGTTCTAACTCACTCAGATGCCGAAATTGCGCCCTTTGGCTTCGACGAAGCATTTCGGCACTTGCTTGCTCGTTTTCATGACATTTGACGGCTCTGCACCGACTGAGTGTGGCGTATCATTGACCTGACCTGTCACACAAAGGAGAGGCTGCCAGGCCAACGTGTACGCCATTTCTATGCAAATTTTATCACTTCTTATGGATACACTTCTCTACACATCCACCATTTTTAGTGATTCCAAACACACCATTTAGGTGTGTTTTAATTTTCACAAACACCATTGTAGATTAGACTCGTTAATAGTTGGGATTTTAATCCAAACATTAACTCGATCTCTTCTTTTGTTTCAGGCGTACCGCGTGCAGCGGAACGAGAAAGTGGGGAGGCAAGTATCTTGTCATTTATTACTGTAATGAAGAAACAAGAAAATATTGAAATGAATATTGAATGAATTTATTCAAGTAAAATACTGTACTGTGAAAACATTCATATTCTGTAATAAAGCGAGTAAAAGTTTCTTTTTCCGAAAGTAAATGCATTCGGCAGCTCAGATATTTTATACAAAAAATATATCTTCAATATTGTCGCTGTAGAAGAACTTCAATACTGTAGGTGTCGCAGGATGCCATAATTTTCGAAAATTGACTTTATGAAAAAATTACGAAAATGTCTTAGGGACTTCATGCAATGTACTTCCCAAACTTAAATTTCGCTTTGAAATTTGATGGACTGAGGCATTGCCTGGGGATTATTAATTTTGATGAAGATTCTATCTACAGTTTTTACCAATGCTTTGCCACCAATGCATTGAACCAATACTATGCCACCAATGCATTGAAATAATGCTTTGCCACCAGACACGCCACTTGGAAACGCTTCTGAAAAGCATCGTGTGAAGGGATCCTCATAGGAGCGAGGTTCACCACACAGAGCCATCGACCAGCACCACTGCGCGTGGGAAAGTAATTGAATTGAAACCTTATTTTTCGTGGCGAGACTCGCGCCATCACGTCCGCTCTTCTGTCTTACCACGCAAATTTCACTAAACTCCTTTCACCCACTAGCGGAGAAAGGAGGTATTTCATTGGCGGCGAAACAAGCGATTTGAATTTAGGTCAGAGGCTTCATTTAGGCTTGAGTATCTTTTAGATGCAGTAAATCTACTAACATGGGATAGCTGGCTTTACTTCCCTTCCGAAGGAGCCCTTAAGAATACACTTCTTCAGTCTGCTTTGTACCCGAGAACTTGGGTATAACAGTCCGGTACGCTAACCGTTACACCATCGCCGCTGCAGGAAGGGTTTGGGAGTCACCGGTTGGGCGCCGGCAGCTGCAAGGCACTCAATTTGTGAACCGCTAAGCTCAGGGGTGCGGCCGAGAGGCCTTGAGTCAAAGCTGCCATTTATAACTGCACTGTCCAGGCGATGGCGTCTGCGCTACAGGTGGCGTGAGCGTGCCACTAACCGCCCAGCTGTGGCGTCACATTTAAACCAATGCTTTGCCAGCAACAGCGGCAAACAATATGCTGGTGAATGGCTCAGTGTGTAGGGATCCTAACAAATCGGTTGTCTTGGGGTTGTCGATGCCCAAACTATTGAGCCAAGAATCTCTACTTTCCCGCGTTCAGTGGCGCTTGTTAGTGGCTGTGTGTGAAGGGGATGCTACCGAGTGGTTACAAGTAAAGGCAGTTCGTGCTATAGTTAATGCTAATGAAAAGTGTTGATTTTTCGACTGAAAAAGTCGTTTTGTGTGTCCCTGATATCGAAAAAATAGTTAACGGCAAAACTTCACTTCTTGCGTTCGTTTGTCTGTTTACAACACTAGTATCTAAACAACCTACAATTTTCTCCAAAACTGATATTTTTCGATCAATCAGACCAAACTTGTGGCCCTGTGAATTTCAAATAAATATTTTGTAATAAATATTTCGAAGAACTTTTCATGAAGTTTTAACACTTTCAAAATGTTCTCCAAATTGGCTGCAAACGTTTTCTTCACATTCTTGCTAAAATAGAGCAAATAACGCTTATAAAAATGGCGAAGATGCAGTTTCTACTGAAATTTCCGTAGATGTGCCAGAGCAGCACTAGTGTTCATGTGAACACTTCTATTTAAACCACTGTTTTCCAGCGGAAGCGCTGCCCAGTAGCTTTATGCGCCATAGCAGTCCCTCTGCGTGTGTAAACTTCCACTCAGGCGTCGGAGCGCTCGTGCGTAGGTACGTGGTGGCGGCGCGCGCCCTGGCGGCCGGGGCGGAGGTGCTGCGGGAGAAGGCGGTGGCCGTCGGCCCCAAGATCGACTCCCCGCCCGTGTGCCTGGGCTGCTACTCGCCGGCGGACGAGACGACGCCGCTGTGCCCGCGCTGCGGCTGGCCCGCGTGCAGCGACGACTGTGCCGCCGCGCCCGACCACGCCCTCAACGAGTGCAAGGTCTTCGCAGACGCCGGCGTGCGCTTCCAGCCGCCCGAAAATTGGTAATTACCACCATTCCTATTTACGGACCTGGCCTCTACTACTTTTTTCTCCAATGAGAAAAAAAAACTTAAAACTCTCAACTACGTTAACGTAATTGAAATGAACATCTTTGATGGAAACAAGGATCTATTGGATAGAACTGATTCCTGACTGGTCGCATACCAATGTTATGCCTTTACCCGAAGATTATCAAGGGGGTGCATCGGTGCACACCACAATAAATTGCAATACAATCGAAGAAAAATTGTATATACTTAAGAACTTTTGCTGTACTTGGGTTTTTCATTTCTTCGCGCGTGAGGGCCTGTTTTCACGATGTAAAATCTTATGGCATTTTGCGGCCTTCTCGGTAGTGCAGCTAGATGTCGCATGATCGCCAGCACTGCTCGGTACGGCTTGACCCTAGCCGCACGAACAAGAGAAAATGCCGTGAGATATTACGTCGTGACAACAGGCCCTCACGCGACAAAAATAGAAACCCATGTATACTTCTATTGTATTACATTACAATAATTATCTGCAAGAAGGTTACAATATTTCAATTTTCTTAGTTATGGCATGGGCACATATACAGTGCGCCTGGAAAGACTCTCCGCACCCACCTGCATCAGGACCTCGTATTAAAAATTTCATTTATGTTGGCGGACACTGAATCACTTGGAAACAAGTAAAGGGAACAACACTCACAGCACCTGCTACAATTCCCTTTTTTCTATTGGCAGCACTCGTACCAGGAAGATGCTACCACGGAGAGGCGTTCCTAGCGCTCTGTATATCGAACATCTTCTGTACTTGGTGCCTTTACCCCGGGGACGCTGATCGCCACACCCTTCTATTGAAGGAGTTGTTCAACATCGACTCAGTTGCTCCCATTGAACAATTGTTAGCTACATCAGCAAACACTAAAATGAGATTGCAATGTGTTTATGGATAACAGTAGTTGTCAGAGAAAGTCGGGGTTTCCGAGACGCTATTGTGCATGGCGATCGTATCGCATTGTTTCGTAAACATCCGATAAGTGGAGAGACGAAACTATCGCAAAGGGTTAAGAAACGTTCCAATAATAACAGTCTTAAATAATGAAACAGTAATTCCGTACCTAAACAAAGATGGAGGGGAACAAACTACGCCAGGAGCGTTGTGGGCAACCCATTGGTATGCGATTGTTTAGTGAATAGAGAGTGCAGTTATGTTCTAAACGTCGTAGATACTACAACAAGCAGAATATATTTTCGTTTTTTTTAACTAACTGCCTGTGTGCAACATACGGAATCTCTTGGTGCAAACAAATATTTCCAAAGTGTGGTCATCGTGCGCACGTCTGTGTATGTGTGTGCGTGTGTGAGAGAGAGGGGGAGCATGTGCAAGTCGTACCCGCAGCGAGAGTCGTGTAATGTGCTCTATTAACTGACCAATTACTGGACCATATTACTTGTGATCATGCTCAGAGGACGCATTTATTCAATACGCAGATGATGAGGGTGATGCCTATGTATTGTTTCTAATGATGGTGATGGTGTTTCCGACTACACACACAGTCTGATTTCTAATGATGGTGTTGGTGTGTGTGTGATCCAAGTGTTAATGACGGCTGTGTGTGTGAATAGCTTCTAAGTATGTGTGTGTGTGTGTGTGGCATATACGAGTCGTGGCGTGCCCGCAGCTAGAGGCACAATTTGCTCTGTTAATTAACCGTTTATCGGTCAATTTTTTCACCTGTATATGATGGTGGGGTGTGAATGTCAGGTACAAGCGTGTCTGGACCAGGTACGAAAGTGTTTTTGTTCTAGAAATCAGACTGTGTGTGTGTTACATATACGTGCGTGCGTGTAGGAGAGAGAGGGGGTACGAGTTCGTGTGCGTATTGGGGTGCGCGCGCGCGCGTGCGGCAGGTGGGAGCCGTGCCCGCAGCTGGAGTGCATCACGCCGCTGCGCGTGCTGCTGGAGGGGGAGCGGGACCCGCAGCGCTGGAAGGACGAGGTGTCGCAGATGGAGGCCCACAACGACATCCGCCGCGAGACGCCCGCGTGGGCGGCCAACCAGACCAACGTCGTCGACTTCCTGCGCTCCAGCTGTAAACTGGACAGGTGCGTGGCCCCGGCGCGCGTGCCGCCTTAGCTCCTTACGTAGAGAGTAGTGCACGCTAGATGCCTTCACTGGGCGGTGTTCCTGGTCCGCTAGATGCGAGATCTCGCAATGATCTACACACAGGATTTCATCTTCAAGGTATCTCCTCAATAGGACACTCTTGGGAGCGTCGAGCTCTAAGTTCCCGTCTATTCCTCTGACGTATGTGATAGTCTGGTGTATGTAAATGTATGTGTGTGTGAAAGATTGCCGCGGTCCGTGGCCCATTTGTTAGAATGCAGATCGGAGAAATCAAGAAAAACTACCGTTTAAAGCAGGTGGCTACTAGAATTCGCCTTCAGACAGCGGCTGAATTTGACTCAGCTATTTAGATAGTGCAGAAAATCAGGCACTCCCTTTAGATCTCCTAGTTAGTCGCTGCAGAGATAACGGCCCTGAACAGAGCGCAGGCCGCAGAGCTAACTCAACGGCCTTGGGTCGTTATCCCAAGAAGAATAGTGATTGTATTGCATCTCAATATTTAACCTCCCTCATTTCAGAACGACATGAAACAGTATTTTTCGGGTTTTATATTTTTGGCATTGTGAATATGGAATACTTTTCTGTTCTACCTATTTTACAGCTCTTCCTTATGTACGTTGTAATCTCAATGATTCAGCTCCTAGCAACAAATAATTATATTCAACGACTAGCTGAAGTTCCCGGCATTACCCGAGTTTAATCCTGTACTAGACAAGAAAATGAACGATTTCTATATAGTATACAATGTAAAATGGAAGTAATTTTATTTGCGACCAGTTCTCTGTTTTCACATTTGTTTCTTCATTCCTCTTCTGGTGATAAATTATCACAAATCCTTTCTTTTATTGGTTACGTATCTCGTAATCATGTATTCAAAATTTAACGTCACGTCAGTGGTTTGTTTCCGCTTTAATGTGTCAGTCAATGTCTTATCTTGTAATAATAATAGCAAGAAGAAGAAAAGAAAGATGTAGAAAGAGGTATTTTATCTGATTGGCTACTACGATGTCATCTACAACAAACAACATGTCGATGACCTACCTGAGAAGACTGGCTTTGGCAACATAGAGATGTCAGCAAATGAATGCATGTCATTTAATTGGACAATTCATCTCCTGCCATTGCTGCGAATCAAATTTCTGCTTGTCGCATTTAATGCGTCATCGTCACTCGCACACCGATCGCAGAAGGAATGTTCGAGATGTTGGCCGCGAGCCCGGTCTGTGAATTCAACGGCCGACGAAGACAACAGGCCAATTGGAGTTGGGCCGAATCACGTGAGTAAGGTTACATCGTTGCCAGATGTGTCAGGGCACGGCTCCGAAGGAGAGCGGCATTGCAACATCTTCAATCCCGGAAGACTTGCGTTAAACAACTTGAACTTGGATTTATATTTAGTCCTATTATGTTGTATTTTAAGAACAAAATACCATTAAATTCGCTCTTATGTACAAAAAAACTTTGAAATACTGTATTAAGAGTATTAGAACTGCAAGAGAGCTAAAAAGAACGTCATATAAATATATTCGGATATTGATTGTAATAACAAAAGAAAGTAGCACTGGGCAGTAGAGTCGGTCTCTACTCGGTCTAGATCCTTAAAAACTAACATTTTGAAGCCAAAGGCCTCAAACAAACGTTCATCACATTGTAGTCGACGATGAGATATTGTTAGACATTCTATTGAATCTTTGCTGGACCGGCGCAAATCGGTACTACCAATGCCACCTAGATTTCAACCCTTGGGGGATGGTGGCCATCTTTGTGAAGTCACTCTTACGTTGAAGGTCCCCTATATCTTTTACTATTTTGCTTCCTGTGTACACCCTGGTTTACGCAGACTGGCGTGGTTTATATGCATAATTATTAATTCAGCATTCGCTCACGCAGCAACTAAAAGTACTATTCATACGAGTTCATTCGTAGTTCGTTGATTCCGATGAAGATTGTTTCTTATGCGTGTAGTGAAAACACTCATTTAATGTTTTACGGAGGTCTATAAGTCATGTGTACCCAATTGTGGAGGTATGTGGATGTTCAGAGAAGAGTGAAGACGTGTCTTTTTAGGTTTGGTTTGTGTTTTCCTTGTACCAATATTTTCGTTATCAGCAGTGATTCGGTGAAACTTTCGAGTCAGCGTGTTCAGTCACGTAGCTTTCTCAAGAGTAAACAATTTTTTCATATTTTTGTGACCATCACAAAAAGTGAAAAGCTAACTGTCAAAGAATGTTGAATAATTACTTCAAATATTTTCAAGGGTATGTTGTGAATTGTTCGAAGAAACGTATCGATAATACCAAATATCTTTAGTGAAAAATACTTTCCCATGTCAATTACATTCTTTTTTATTTTTATTTGGCATTGTAACAGTACACTGGAATATACCTTTATACATTTTTATACAGATAAATACGTTTCGTTAACAACTTTCTCTCTTAGAATGAAAATAGAAGAATAGGCAAGCACGGGTGCGCGCAGGTAGTAGAAGAAAACTTGTGCTATGGCACAACAGAAAAAACGAACTTTTTAAATTAACAAAATAAAAATAGCATGAAATAAATGAACAGCAAACATTAAACGCGCTAGCCTACAATACTACGTGAATTAATTTATAAAAGCAACCAAATTTATAATTACAGAAAGAAAAGCTCAAGTCTGCCAACTGTCACTATCCAGACGCATGATTTTAATTTTGACGGTCCTGGACGTCTGTACATCAATGTCCAGTTGTAAACTCATATATTATTTGTAATACACCCTTTGATATAGAACTTAAGATGTCGGATCACGAAGATATTCAATACGTAAACATCGTTTGAGCAACATTCCCATATACCAAAGTGAAGTCTAAACGCACAGAATAGTTTCTAATGATAAAAAGGGATATTTATTACTCAAAGGTGAAAATATTAGTTTTATTATTTTTTGGACCGGAATTTATTTTTTTAGTGTACATAAGAACGCAGAAAAAATAAAATATTTTTTAGTTGAATTGAATTTGCCTTATTTTACGTGGCGAGACTCGGGCCATCAGGCCCGCTCTTCCGTCTGACCACGCAAATTTCGCTACGCTCCTTTCACCAACTAGGAGAGAAAGGAGGTATTTCTGGGCGAGAAACAGGCGATTTGAATTTAGCTCAGAGGCGTCATTTAGGCTTGAGGATCTTTTACATGCAAGTAAATCTACAAACATGGGACAGCCGGCTTTACTTCCCCTCCGAAGGAAGGCGTACGAAGGATTTTTTTCGCCCTTAAAAATCCACGGCTTCGATCGGGTTTGAACCCGTCAATTTGGGTACAACAGTCCAGTACGCTAACCGTTACACCATCGCCGCAGTTTACAAATAATGTTTCAATTTTCGCACCCCAGCATGAAGATGCACCCTGGCCTCGTGCCCCTCTAAAAGTCCCTTTATTCCTCATAACAAACCCCGGGAAGGATTGTACTTGCCGTATTTTCGCATGGAGAACTTTGCTTGGCTTTCTCAAGTGTAAAACCCTCTTCTAATATTTTTGTGTCTTTCAAGGAAAGCGAAAGTATAACTGTCAAATGTTCTTAAGAAGGTGTTAATTGTTCGAAGAACATATCCCTATAATAGTGAATATGTTTCCAACGTCAATGTACACAGAATGCGTAAATAGTATAAGATAGAGGAATCTAAGCCTTCTAAGCGTGACGTCACAAAGATGGCCACCATCACCAACGGTTAAAATAATGCGTGGTATTATTTTAATTGTAATAATAATAATAAATAATGCGTGGCATTCATAGTATCGATAACGGCCGAAGCAGCAAAGATTTAATAGAATGTCCAAGAATATCTTATCCTGTAGATTACGGCGTTTCTAAAGAAACGTTTCTTTGAGGCCTCTGGCTTCAAAATTTTAGTTTGTAACGCCGTAGAACGCTTCTTTTAGGAGTTATTAAAAGAAATATCTTACTGAGTGCTGTTTGTTGCATTTGACATGAATATTTGGATGCTTTTTTTAAACAAATCTGTCACATTTGTAAAGTCAAAGAGTAGGGTTGCCACCTTGCCAATTCCAGAAAACCGGAGACCGCTGCGACCGGGGGGGGGGGGAATTACTGAAATCTAAAAAGAAATTAACGCAGACTTTTATTTATTTATTTAAAATATATTTACATATCTTTGGTTTCTAGTGATCTATAAATAATTAACATTTATTCAAAATAGTGTTACACTTTGCTAACATTCTACTTTTTCCAGTTATACTTTTCGTTGCTCAGAGCTTTTTTTGGCAGAGATATTTGCTCAGGTTTTTTAAGAAAATCAATGAATTGATCACAAGTCAAGTCGTAGTTCAATTTTACAAATATACGAATTATACAACTTTTCGGAATTTCTTAAAATGTTGTTTCGTTCAATAAATATAGTCTTAACTTCAGTTGTTTCTAAACAAAGAATTATGATTAATTATATATATATATATATAATCTCTTTTCAATCATTCAAAACCGTTTTCTTAGTTTTCGCACAAGTAATACATGACGTGCAGTTCCCACGAATCACAAATGTACCTTTATCTTAATGTTTCCAAGAAATAATTTCCTAAGAAAAAAACGAACGAAAATTCGATCTTGTTCAAAATGAAGATATCGAATAGCATTCCGGGGGATTATTCTTGAAACGATTCTCGCATAATCGATCGATGCGATTCTCGCATAATCTCTAGATGCTGTCTCTGTCTGATATGCGTAGAAAGAAAGAGACAGCGGATGGCGATAACACGAGAATCGCAAGACCAATTTTCATGTTCTGCTCTTTAAGGAAAGGACAGATTTCTGATGAAATAGAAAAAACTTTAAATTTTAAGTTGAAAAATCTATTTATTTTGTAAAAAATTTGAAAATGTATTGAAATTGAAAAAAAAGGAGATAATTTTTCAAAAACCGGAG